CCATTTCTGCCAGGCTGGAATGCTCTTAAAGCAAAATTCCTGGAAGTAGGAGCTTTGAGGTAGACTAGGCCAGAATCGGGGTGTTCCTTGGTGCCTTTGTGTTTGGTCCTGGGATCTCCTCAAAGTGCTTTGCTGAAATCACAGTCACCCCTTGGGCTGAAAGAGCTTTGGCAATCTGGGCTGCTTCCTTCCAAGCTGGCCTGCAGCCTGCGAGGGGATCTGGGCCTTTTTTTCCTCTAAACCTGTGTCAGCTTGACCGTTCCTCTCACCTCAGCCTACGATAAGTTGTGCGAGGCAGTATTTCTGTTCGTCAGCCTTGAACCCTGACCCTAACAGCTGATCTGCTGCATCAGCAGCCCACATACTTAATCATGATGAGTATTATTGCTGGGTTATTTTTATGGTATATAACGTCTTATGAAGCACACAGACATTCCAGAAAGAAAAATAATGAAGGATACGACTGCCTCAAAGCTGAACCAGCAGCTTCTTCCTTTCTGGATGCTACAGGTGGTATCTGTGGTCATCCTCCGAGACGGCCTTCAAGGGAGGTTCAGTTGGGGGCAACAAGGGCGGGGCCTGCTTAGTGGCAGCCCCTCGATTTTGGAACAAGGTCCCCTTTGGGGCCCGCCTGGTACCAATGCTATCCTTTCAGTGCCAGGTTTAAACTGCCTTTCACACCAAGACATTGAGCAGCTTTTTAAACAGTATATTAAGGCCTTATGCTAGCTGTTTAAAGGTCCTGTTGTTTTAACTTAGCTATGTAAGTGATTCAAATTTGACATTTAAATCCAGTCTTTAAATGTAGTAGTGATGCTGATGATGTTTTTACTAATGTCTGTATTTCATATGGTATTTTATGATATTTGATGGATTGTTTAATCTGCCCAGGGAGTTTTGGCTATTGGGCGGCATCAGAATCAAATAAATAATGAGAATAATTGCCCCCCTGCTGTAGGCAAAGACTGGGAAGCAGCTGCTTTTTGGAGCCAGACACCTTCCCACCCTTCTCAGGAGCTCTCAGCAGCTTTCCCCAACTTGATGTCTTAGACCATGGGTCCTCAAACTGCGGCCCAGGGCCCGGATCCGGCCCATCATGCCCATGTGGACCTGCCGCCCACCTCCCCCCGTGTGTGGGAGGCAGCGGTTTGCTTGCTTGGAGAAAAGGTTCTTCAAGCGAGCAAGCCTCTGCCTCGTGCGCCCGCCTCGTGGTGCATGCCCACCCCCACATGTGCACATGCGCCTGCATGCGCCGCCCCGCCCCCTCGCCGGCCTGCGCACACAGCCGGGCACCTCCTTTCCAGCCCGTGCGCAGCACCAGCAGCTTTCAGCTGGCCCCCTGGTCAAAAAGGTTGAGGACCCCCATCTTGGACAATTCCCACTTGCCCTGGACAGCAAGTGGGAATCCGCACTGGCAGACTGGGCTTCATCGGGGCTTGAGGTGGGGGTCTCTCTCAGTCATCTCTGGAGACAGCAGGGGTGGGACTGGAGACCCCCTTTTTGCAAAGCCGGTGAGCCTCTCCCCCTTCTGAACGCGTGCCTGCTAGCAGAGGGTTTTTTTCCTCCTTTCTGAATTAAGAATGGCAGCATCAAAAATGGCAGCATCCTTCACTCTCAAGATGTGTCTTTTAAAAAGCATGAAAGAATTACCCAGGGAGGCTTCCTCCCGTTCCTCTGCATGTGCTAGGAGGCAAGGCTAGGGCAATACACCATGCAGAGACACCTCAGCCAACCTCCTTCATGCACAAGTCCTTTAGGTCCCAATCAGCCTTGATCTGATGAAATGACAATTCAGCAACAACAGTTTTGCACCCTGCCGTTGCATCTCAGCCTAAATCTGGAGCCCCACCCTGGTCCCACCTGGTCTACGCCATCCCACAGGAAGGAGGAAAGCAGAGAACCTTCATTCCCCCCTCTCTGCTGCCTAATGTAGCATTTACAATAGCAAAACCAAGGACTGCCTCATAAATAAGACCCATAAAAGTTACAGGCCTGCAAAAGAAATGTTACGGCCTGCACTGGGTGTTGAGGAGTGAGCGTTGCTCTCCAGCAGCACCGAAGGGTCACAGGACACGCCATCCCTGCACTGCCAGTCAGTGCTGAGCAGGCCATAGCCCAAGGCCTCATGATCTAAGGGGGGTCTCCAGCCAGTTTTTCAAAATTACCATTCATTTTATTTCCTCTGCAACAATAAAAATCTTGCACTTCCACCTCAACGTCAAGCAAGCTCATCCTGAAGAAGAAAATTTCAGCCACCAAGATATGCATCAAAATGTGGAAACAATTTTCAGATTGTTCCTGTGTTTGATGGTTACTAAGTGCACAGGTGAAAGATTGTTTTCCAGGCTACAAAGAATAAAGAATGATCCACCGTCAACAATGTCCCAAGGTTGGTTGTCTGATCTAAGCAGTCCCTGCGCAGAAAATGATAAAGTGCAACTTACTGATCTGAATGATATAATTGATAAAGTTGCATCCAAAGCAGCTGGAAAGAAAGAGTTCTTACTTTGTATATACTGTACTGTTATAACCTAGCTATGATTCCCCTCTGAACATTCTGTGTTAACCTCTTCATTAATTTCATACTTTGGTAAACTTATTAAAGGTTATAAATGTATAGACAATCTTTTTATCAAGGCTAAATTTGCAGCCATGTTCTTCTTTCATTGAGTAGATAAAGCAGAGAATGAGGTTTGGTTTCTCATGGCCGGGTGCTCTGAAGTTTGGGCCTCCCAAGGTCTCCTAGCCCAGGGCTTGCACTTGCTTTAATCTGGACTGCCGCCGGCCCTCCCACTCACCTGCCTGCAGGTCCTCATCACCTGCGGCTACCAAGCAAGCCTTAGACTGCACGGCCGACCTAAGAGGAATCCATTGCACCTTTTTCTTCCAAGGATGCCGAAGCATATTGTATAACCGGAAGTCCTCTAGAGGATTTGGCCTGCAATCTGTCTAGATCTTAAAAGCTGCCCTGCTGACCCCAAGGTACGGCCCCGTTGAGATGAGGGACCTGCAGGTAAGTTGGAGCAAACACGGAAAACAGCCCAAGAAACCTGGCTGCACATGCATTTAAAGTAAGCTCTGTTTTGTCCCTGGGTTGTTTTGGACAGAGCTGGCTGGTGGCCACACAGGTCTTGCAAACCCCACCTCCCTGAGCCCCCCCCCCACCGTGAGCTGGACCTCTGGCAAGAGGTCAGTCTGCTCACATGGATCATGCGACAGACACAGATTGCCTTCTGGCTCGAGGATGAATTCTGCAAGGGCCCAGCGCAAGCTGGGGGCAGCATCCCCTGAGGCCCCTAGAAAGCCCACCCTGCAAGGGGTACAGCCACAAGGTGCATCCCACCCGTCTTCTTTGTCCCCAGCACTGGAGATTCAGGCTGGCAGGAAAGATGGCCTGCGCAAGGAAGACCTCTTCCGGCGGCACAAACTCGCAGCCTCACCGACCAGAAGGGAGCCCGGGGGCCCGGCCTTCGGGCGACAGACCGGAAGAGTAGCACCTCTGAGCATGGGCCTTCCGGTCTCCTCGGAGCCCTGGGTCACCCCAGCGCTGAGCAGCCCCCACTTTCAGGCCATGTCCAGTTCCTGCTCCTTTCCGGGCGGAACCTGGCTGGGACCTGGCTGCAAGGTGGGCGCCCTGCCCCTCCACCCCCCCCCACTTCCTGAAAGGCCTTTCAAGTTGGCCACTGCCCATGGAGCTGATGGGAGGAGCTCCCCGAATTTTAGGGTTTGGGTTTGGAGAGGGGCTGAGCTTGGTGCATTTGGGATGCAAAACGGGGGTCTGACAGCTGCGCTGAGGCCTCCCCCGCTCATCTCCCAGGCGGAAGCAGGTCTCTTGCCTGGGAGCCACCCTCGCATTAAGCCTGTTCGGGGGCCCCAAAGTCCACCACAAAGATTACCTGACTCAAACAGGGGTTTTGGGTGGGGAGGGCCTTTCGCCATCACCTCCTGCTCTCTGCGCGTTTAGTTGCACAAGTTCCTGATACCGGGAAGTGCTGGGGGAATTGCACTCTGCACCTGCTCAGGGGAAATGGTGCCTACTTTTCTTTCCCGGGCTGCCTGGTCTTCACTGCACACGGGTCAAGGCATCCCTCGCAGAATGAGCGTACACCTGGAGGGAGGGTGGGGATCGCCCCCCACGAGCGCCAGGGAAGAAAGGTGAGGATCGGAGGCACTTTGCGTCTGCCCAGTCTGTCGCTCCTAAGGGCGGCCGGGCTGGCCAACAATAGCTCGCCCTCGCCACCCGCCCCCCCACCGCCGCGCGCTGAAACGGAGCACGGCGCTGGGTGCCCCCCCCCCCCCCTTGCCACATTTCTCCGGGGCAAAGCCTGCGGCTCCGGACCTCTGGTGCGAAAACAGCCCGTCCCCGTTTCAACCTGCCGGGAGGGGAGGCGGCTCGTTGCTCGGCGGCTCCCCCGCCCGCCAGGCAGGTCCACGCCCCTTCCCCCTCCCGCTCCGGACCCTCGAGAAGACCCATGGCTCTGTAGCCCCCACCTCCGGCTCAGCAGCGGGTCAACGCGCCCGATCCCGCGCAAAGGGGGAGATCAGCCCGCACCCCTCCCGGCGCGCCGGCGCTTCCTCGCCGCTCCCGCCACCGCGGCTGGAGACAAAGAAACCCCGGCGCCCCCTCCCTCTCGCAGCCCACCCACGGCCCCCCCAGCGGCTCCCCTCTTTGCACCCCTCCCTCCTCCGCTCCCCCTTCCCCTGCGAGCCTCGTCCTTCTCCAAAGAGCCCCCCCGCAACACCCTCCGTGCTCCCCCTCGCCCCCTTTCAGCGCCGCTGCTTGGAAACCTCCCGCTCGAGCCCTTTTCCGCCTCTGGCCCCCCAGGGAAAGGCTCCCCGCCGCGCGCCCCGTCCCCGAACGAGCCCTTTCCGCGGGCGGCCGGCTCCATCCTTCTCCAAAACTGCGCTCCGGGCGCCCCCACGCCCCCCCGCCAGAGGAGAGCCGCCCCCGGCCGGGGCGGGCGAGGGGAGGGCGGGTCTCGCGCGCGCGCCGGCTTTACCCGATCTCCAGCTCGATCTCCGAGATGTCCGCGAAGATGAGGACCCCCACGACCAGCGTGAGCAGCGCCAGCGTCCAGCTCCGGCAGGGCAGCGGCATGGTGGGCTCCGGGCGAGGGGGAGAGCCAGGCGCGCGCCGGGGGGCGGAGGAGGCGCTGGGGACCACCTGCGCGCCCCGAGCCGGGTGCTGCGCGCCCCTCCGCTGGACCCGAGGGCGGGGGCGCCAAGTTTGGCCGGCTCCCGCGGGCGGCGCGGAGAGAGGCGCCCCCGCCGAGTAGGGGGCCTGCGGCGCCTGCTGCCCCTCGCCTTCAGAGCATCTCCGGTGCGGGGACCGGCCGGGGCACAACCCGCTCCCCAAGGTTTCCAGATACTGAGCGGCGAGCGGCGGAGCGAACGAGATGAGCCGCCAGCTCCCCCCCCCCGCGCCTCCCCGCGCGCGCGCTCTCCTCCCTCTCCAGCCCGCCCTCCTCAAAGTTTCAGCCCTTTCCTCGCGCGTCTTTCCGGGACCTCGTCCGCGCGGAGCGGAGGTGCGCTGCCCGGTCGCGGCGGCAGCCGCACGGGAGCCAGCGGCCCTTGGATCGCCTCGCGGTCCCAACAACGCCCTTGCAAGGTAGGCCATCTCCCCTTCTCCCGAGAAGCGGGAGGCAGACTCCCGAGGCTCAGGATGTGCAGCAGCCCCGGGACCAAGACGCGGGGCACGAGAATGCCTGCGGGTGACTCAGGGCAGCGACACAAGCCCGGCTTCCCCACCTTTAAGCCATTAGGCTGGAGCGGTTCTCCCCTTAGCCCAGACGCACCTCAGTTATGTGAACAAGGCATAAGCGGGGGAAATACTCTTTAAAAACCTTAGCCAGCTTGATTAAAGTGGGACCAATAGGAAAAACCGTAAAGCAGTGTGTTTTGTGGCTTGTATAATCTATTTTAAAAGTTGCACTGGGTTGCCTTTTCATTCAGCTCCTGTGGTGGAAAAACTGTAATGATTTCTTAGGAAATATGGTCAGACAGGCAGGTAAGTTAAACATGTGGGCTGTATCAGGACAGGTGGGCTTAGGTGTGTGACAACCAGTGCTCCATCTGCTGTGTCATGCCAGAAAACTGTTTTCCTTGGAAGATGGAAAATGGAGGCTTTGACAGTCTACACCCACTTCTGTTCCTTTCTTTAAAAAACAACCAGCACAAACAAAATCCTTAAACCATGTTTTCCTTCCCAAAGATATCCACAAGCTTTATAATGTGAAAGCTTATTCACATTCTCTTATTCTGAATTTTCCGTTCTGCAAGCAACACAGCGAGTGGCCATTCCTGGAAGCCACGGTTGACGTACCAGCCAGGGTCAACCTACAAGCCATGTCTGATGTGCACTCGGCCAATACTAGATTTGTCGGCCTAGTTCTGAACTTCTTGCTCAAAAGAGCATGGCTTTAGGACTTCATCATCCCCTAACCAGTCATTTCTTTAATAGCAAAGACCACTCTCTAAGCAGGGTGCATGTCTTGCGTCATTCCAATATATACCAGGCCTTATTCATTGTCTCACTTAGGCTGGTTCAGGCTCAGCCTTATGGAAATCAGGCAGTGGGGAAAGGCAGAGCACAACCAGGAAAGAAGATTCCAGCACAGCGTGGTGTGGACATGGTCCAAGAACCTGAGTCCTGGGAGTTCAAGATTAGTAGCGTAAAAGTTCAACCACAGAACACAGCCAGAGAAATCAGGGAACCGGGCACTGAGCACTGAGGTGACAAGCTGTTTCCTGTAACTTTCAAGTTCCAGCTGAAAGCTGATGCTCAGCTGAAGTTCATCACAGGTGTGTGAGAAAGTCCTCTTCACAGAGGACAGCCCGGCCAGGGTGCCTGAAGCACTTCACTACCAAGTGTGAGCCTGAAGATCCATCCAGCACCAGCCTACGCTAGGGCTGGGCCGATGCCCAGCCTTCTCCCACCATGGGGATGTCTGTGGGATCCTGAGAGGAACCATCCAGTCTCTACCAGCATGGAAGGACACAGGGTAGTTCTCCTGGAGGTGCTCAGATCATCAGTGGCAAGATAATGCACAAGGCTGCTGGCTCCCTGGTTTCCCAGTTGTCATCTAGCAACATCGTCCCGCCTGGACCAGGCATGACACCTGGAAACCTGACATTTGTTGACAGATCCTATTCCATTTTTAAAGGTCTTTAAACCAGTTCCCATCACCACATCTCGCGGCTGTAAATCCTGTAGTTTAACTGTGTGCTGAGTGATGCGCTACTGCTTTTTGTATGTCCCAAAGCTCCCACCTCTCAGATTCATCGGTTGACTCCATGAAACAGGGAGAAGAGAACGGTTCACTGGCTTTCTCTCCCACATGCAGAATTGTCTGTCTGTCTGTCGGTCTGTCTGTCACATCTGCCCATTCATCCATCCTTTTTCCAACCTAAAATAACCTTATAAAAATTTCAGTCACAATGCATTTCACTGGTGTCAGTTTATCTGCCCAGAAGCCCCTCTGGGACACAGAACTGGAGAGCAACAGAGTTGGAAGGGGACCACAAGGCCGCCGAGTCCAACTCCCAGACCAGCGAAGGACTCCGATTCCCAACACATGGCTGCCCCGTGGAGGCCTCCAGGGCGGGAGAGCCCACCGCCTCCCCAGGCCATGGGCCCCATCGCTCCAGCTAATGGCCAAGGAGTTTTTCCTGATCTTGGGTCAGGACCTGGCTTCCTGTAACTCATGCCCAGTCTCCTGTCTCCTGTGCTCTGCAGTCCCAGCCCTTCTGAGCATTCGACAAGGGCTGTTGTCTCTCCAGTGCGATGCAGTTGCCAGGAGCACAGGGCTGGGACTCAGGCGACCAGGGTCCCAGTTCCTGCTCAGCCATGGAGCCCACTGGGTGCCTTTGTGCCAGCCAAAGACTCCTAGCCCAACCTACCTGGCAGGGTTGTTGTTGCTGGGATAAAATAGAGAGGATATCTGAAGCAGCAACTATCTGTATGTTCCTGTCTGATCACTGAGGCCTTCGTCTCCCCAGTGAAAAGAGGTGGGAGATGGCTAGCAGAAGGGCCTTCTCACTTCTGGAACCTTTTCCCAAAGAGACCCTCCTGGTGCCCTCCCTTCGTTCTTTCAAGTGCCAACTGAAGACTTATATTTCGTAGTCACTTTGATGAATAAGTGGCTTTAATAGTTATATTGTTGTTGTTGCCACCTTATAAAGTGTTTAGTGGCCAGATCATATATTTGTATTTTGTATTTGCATTTATATTTATAATATTGTTTAATGGTTTTATTGGTAATTTGATGGTTGAATTTTATTGAACTGTTTTAATTACCTTATTCTTTTCCTGCTCATTATTTTATTGCTAATTTTTACTGTTTTACAGTTGTTTCACTCTTTTTTGTAAGCTGCCCTGAAGGCCTTTGCCTTAAGAGGCGCAGCATATAAATGTAATACATAAATAATAAATACATACATACATAAAATAAGGAGGAGGAAGAGAATGATTTAAGCTGCTCCAAGTTCATTGCAAGAAAAAAAGAAGAATATTAATTAATGGATTAATGAAATAGCTCTTCCCTCAGTCTCATGTGTCTGCGGTGAGAGGTGGTCACCGTGTGCAGCAGAGAAATTGGGCTTCAATTGACTGGCTCAAGATCTGAGGCAGTGGGAATAATCTTCGTATGGCATCATTCCAGAAAATCAAAGAGCAAAACTAGCAAAGCTCTGCCAGGAATGTATGTCTGCGGTTGCCCATTATCCACATAAGGGGTGGTCTCGGGTGATGGTTTAAGCCCAGGGTGTTATAAAATGATTGGGCATGGGCTGGGGGAGGTCCTTGGGGATGAGCGCAGCTGAAAATGGGCAGCCCCCCACCCAGGGGCCAGCCCCCCACCCCACGGCTTCCACACACCCCTGGCAGCACCCTGTGGCTCAAGCACCTGCCTCTGCCTGGGAGGAGAGGGCTTTTCTTGGTGCCCTTGGCACACGTCTCCGTGTCACACGCCCCCCGGGCTCATCCCCTGCCCTCGCTTGCCCAGGCCTGGGCAGTCCCTCTGGCAAGGCTTCCTCCCTTCAAGGATACCCTGCTGAGCAAGCCCCACACCAGCCTGCCTGTGAAATTGCAAGGAGGTTGGCGAAGGAAGCACTTCCCCTCCTCTGTGCTGGCCGGCACTCCCCCGGGAGCCTGAACGAGGGCTTTGGTGGTTGGGTGCTGTAGCAATCAATCAATTCTTCCCCCAGGAAAAGAGGGGATTTTCACACTAAAATCGCTCCCTGCGAACCCAGACTGAAGGCCACATTTGCAAAATAGCTACTCTGCTTAATCGACGTAGGACATTGGCCATCGCCTCCTCTTTGGAGAGCAACCCCTCCCTTCCTGTCGGGAGCATTTTACAAGATTTCTTCTTCAGGAGGTGCAGGTTGATCTCTGAAAATGTGAGGTCGCTGGAGTCATGGAGAAGCAGTGTGGTACCAGAGACCACATTCGCAACAGCATGGGATGGCTGCGTGAGATGCCTCCAATATTTAGTGAAAGCAAACACAACGGTGTAGAAGACCGCCGGGAGAAGGGAAAGTGTGAGCCTGTGGAGCGCTGTATTCCAGGAAAAGCAAAATGCTCACACAACACGCCATTCACTTCCCTTGAGGGATTCACTCCTGCGGGATGGGGGGGGGGTCCCTCATTTAGGGGCAAGCATATGTTGCTCAAAATAGAGGCTCCCGTCCCAGTGGGAGGCAAAGGGCCTTGTGGGCAGAGCGTGGCCCTTCCCCACCCCGCGTCCTCATCCGATCCAGGGCTTTGTGGATTGCCTCTGCCATAAGAGCGGCAGTCCGGGTTGGGATTGTGCTGGAATGTGTGCGTGTGTGTGGGTTGTGGTGTTCAGTGGTTAGAGCCCCCCCCCCAGCCTATGAGAGAGGATTTGCAGTCATGCACTTACTCTAGAGTAAAGCAAAACAAAAGGGGTGGAAGACGCCGCTGGCAGCTTCTACCTATGCTTTGGGTCTTTGCTTCTTAAAAGGCCGGGAAGGGCCAAATGCAACCTTTGACAGGTACACGGCCTTTCGGAGTTGGGAGCCGTTTGGATACTGGCTCAGACAGCGCGGAGCACAGAAACCGTCTGATTGCTGCTGGAA